AAAAGAGTGGCTAGACTTGGAAGTATGTGAGTGCATGGATGTTTGAGTCTTCATGCATGGATGTCCCATGAACAATTGTGAGGTGTCACTCACAAAGTCAACTCTCCTCTTCTTTTGGGCTTGGGCCGAGAATGGGGAGGGTGAGAGGAGGTTTTTGGGCTTTTTGCCCTTAAGCCCATGTTATAGTTAGGTTGGATGATTTTTGGCCCTAAAAAAAATATAAATATGATTTTTATGACCTATTAGGTTAGATTAGATTAATTATGGTCCAAAATGGTTCATATAATTAATCTATCTCATTCTAGGCCCAATATGGCCCAAAATATTGAATTAAATGGAAGTGGGTCCAATTAGAGCCCACTTAAGAGTTCTAAGCCCAAGATAGCCAAATTGGAAGCTTATTGGTCCATTGGGCCCAATAAGGAAGTCCTAGTCCAAAATGGACTTTAACAATAACTTCTAAGGTTTCCAATTACTTAATGACTATTTGAATTGCTTACATGGGGTGTTTGATGGAAATTTTGTTGACATAGAGTATGCATCATACATGCTCTTATGTTTTTGATTCATAAATTGATTTAAGTGTTGGTTACAAGGCACAAAATTTTCTAATTGTGGCAAGAATGTGTAGAGAATTCTTCAATTAATTCCTTGATTACCGGAGGTGGCTTCTTCGTGAGCGGGCCTTGTGAATCGAGCAATTGCCTTGTGGTGACATTGACTCCATCATAGAAGATGGAGACCTCTTGTTGGCTATTAAGGTCGTGGTGTGGGCAATTTCTAAGCAGACCTTTGTATCTTTCCCAAGCTTCACAAAGAGATTCTCCGGGTTGTTGCTCGAAGTTGGCAATGGCTTTCTTTAGCTTGGCTATTTTGGAAGGCGGCAAAAGTGGTCTATGAACTCTTCTTTCATCTTGGCTCATGTGGTGACCGAACCTGGAGGAAGTGACTTGAGATAATCCTTTGCAGCACCCTTGAATATGACTGGAAGCATGCGAAGTAGCTGAATCTCGCGTGGCACATTTGGTACATTAAAGTAGTCAGCCACATCATTTACTTCATCCAAATGCTTGTAATCATCTTCGTGGTCTTTTCCATAAAAGGGAATCTCCTTGAGTTGAGCTAGGATATGACCCTTAAGCTCAAATGTAGCAGTTGCGGGAATTGCAGGTTGCACAAGTCCTGGGCCAGTGTCATCTCGCATCCTCTTCTTCCATTCCCCCATGGGGACTGCATCGATATTAGCCATGGTGATAGCTAAATCGTCCTCGGGATCGGATTCGTGCTCGTATGCAGGTTCTTCTTCTTCCTCGGACTCGTACTCGATGTCTTCTTTAATCGGGTCTTCAATGACTAACGATGCACTGGATGCTCCTAGGTTGCTGCCTTTCTTCTTGCTGAAAACGGATTTCAAATTCTTCAATGGTGAGTTCTTTGAAGAAGTGGTTTCTCCAACAGCTTTTCCTTTGCTCTTCCTTAGTGCGGATTTCGGGTCTTCAAGAGGAGGGACCAGAGGTGAATCAGATCCTCGGGTTATGTAATAACTGCAACAAAAATAAAAACGCGTAAAAAGAACAAAAATAAAATAAAAATTAAAATTGTGAACAGCGATGTACTCGCCGAATCAGATCCTCGGGTCAAGATTCGGACTTTACGTGACATTCATGCTTGGGAAGGCCAGATCTATGGATTAGGGGCACAGATCTGACCTCAGGAGGTCAATAGCGTTTGTGCATGGCATGAACTCGCCGAGTTGTTCTTGAGACTCAGCGAGTAGAGTTAAGGCTTCACGCAAATCACTCAGTGAGTAGACTTGCCGAGTTGGGGGATAACTTAGTGATTCAGAAGGGGATTAAAGGACTGGAGTTCAAGGTGGTACTCACCGAGTTGTTCTTGAGACTCGGCGAGTTGAGTCGGGGTGGCCCTGCGATTCATGCCAGGTGTGACTCGTCGAACATAAGGAGGGACTCGACGTGCCAAGCGGGACAAAGAGTTAGTGGACATATGTGTACTCGCCGAGTCGCCGGAGTGCACTCGGCGAGTTGAGTCAAAGTTTGACCGTTGACTTTTGTTGACTTTTGGGGTTTGGTCAACAATGGGGTCCTTGGGTCAAAAGGGGGGTAAAATAGCCTTTTACCCTTTTTAGGGTGACAATAGAGGGTTGAGTCTAGTCTCGAGAGTTATATTTAAGAGAGTATTTACTTTATGTGAATAGGCGGAGGCTAGGCAATATTTCTACCAAGTCAGAGATTTATCGAGACGTCTGAGGTGAGTCTTCTCACTATGCCTTACCTGATGGGGTAATTATGTGTGACAGGAAGGTCTTATGTGTATGATGTATATGTGATGTATGCTATATGTGATATGTTATGTGAGATGAGTATGATGTTGTGGACCGGAAGGTCAAGATGATATGGACCGGAAGGTCAACAGAGTTCTGGGATGGAAATCCCCTGAGACACTTGGATCGGAAGATCCTAGGGCCTGGAAAGGCGTATGTGCAATATGTGGTATTTTGGGGAACTCACTAAGCATTTATGCTTACAGTGTTATGTGTTATGTGTTTCAGGTACCAGTGATGATCGCGGGAAGGCACCGGCACGACTCGTACACACGCACAATGGAGTTTATATATATTGATCTTGGGGTTTTGTACTGATACAATGTGATACAATGTTTTTATTTATAAATGCAAATGATATTTCATGGTTTTCAAAAGTGAAAAAAATTGTTCTAATTTTTACGGTGTTACAACCTGAGTGATGTATAACCTTGAGCAAATTACAACAACAAAGACCTCAAATTCTATTTGTTGGTTTTCAAGTAGCAGAGGTTTTTGGGAATGAAAATGTCGTTAATATTTTTTCACCCAAAGGGGTGTATCGCCGTAGGGTTCAAGTTAGCATCCAATATATCGAGGTGTTACAACTACTTTTAAGAGATTGGCTTGATTATAGCGTTATTCATTGGTTTGCGATGTAAGTTATTATTATTATTATTTTTAATATGGTATAATAACTTTTTAGATATAATTATTTTTTACTAACATTGTGTAATATATATAGCCTTCTTTTTACTAACATTGTGTATGTATGTTTATAGCCTTCTTTTTTAGGTCGCCCAATTCCGAATGTGCTTTTTTTATCAGCTTTCCATTGCACGCTTAGATACTCGAGAGGACCTATCACCTGTCAGTAAACATATTGAAGAAGTATTTTCGTATCATAAAGACAAACGATATTTTCTTGCTCCATATTTACATGGGTAAATTTTTTTTTTCTTTCCATAATACGTTCACATACATATACACACTATACATATATGCTTACTTGTTAAAATAATTCATATTTTTGCAATAGGCATTGGGTGCTTTTTATCTTATATTCTGAAAGCAAATGCGGTTATATTGTTGATTCTTTAATTTTTGAAAAGAACCAAGAAAAGAAAAAGGATGATTACTTCTTTGCTTCTTTCATTGATAATGTTTTCCCGGGATGAGTTAATAAGTGGGAAATGATAAAGGTACGTTTTCTATTACTTTTTTTCAATATATTTCAAGTTGTTTGAAATAGTTATTGTGAATTAATGCAGTGCTACAAACTAAAAGGTGGATGTGAATGTGGATTTATATTAATAAAACATATGATGGAGTTTGTTGAGACCATTCAACATGATTTTGAAAATAAAGTAACTATTTATAGATTTTAAATATTAATATTGTGTGTGTATATATATATATATATATATATATATATATATATATATATATATATATATATATATATATATATATAGTTTGTTTGTTGCAAATTTGGAAAAAGAATAGTATTGCTTTACCCGTTAAACTTGAAGATATGGTCTCAAAAATACTACCTCGTTTAATTAACACGGTGAACGATAGTCGGAAAAGAACTTTGTAAGAATTATAATGTTTTTTGTTTTATTAATACTACCTAGTTGGTTTTTTGTATATTGAAGTTTTGTTTAATAGTATGTTTTTGTTAATTGATGATTTTGTTAAATGATATATTGTTTTTTTATAGTGTGGTTTAGTTTTGATGCTGTATTTTATTAGTATGGTTTTATAGTTTTTGATAATAGGGCGGTTTTATATGTCTTGGTGCTATTATTTAATAAGGCTCTTTTTTATATTTTGGTGCTATTATTTAATAGGGCGGTTTTATATGTTTTGGTGTTGTTATTTAATAGGGCGGTTTTTTATTTTTTGATGCTATTATTTAATAGAGCGGTTCCATATTATTTGGTGCTGTTATTTAATAGGGCGGTTTTTAATTTTTTGATGCTATTATTTAATACAGCGCTTTTAGATTTTTTGGTGCGATTTGTGATTTTAATGTTGGTATTTTTTAAGGCGGTTTACCCCATTTTCTAATGTGCTTTACAAACCGCATCAACAAATATGCTTTTTTATGCTATATTTTTTAGTGCGGTTAGGAAACCGCATCAACAAATTATATTAACCGCATTATCAAATCTCTTATGTACTAGTGGGTCTTTATTGAAGAAGGTGACGGGTTCAAAATATCCGACCTTAAGGGCCATACTGATCTTAAGGGTTGGCTTTCCATTATGGGTCTAGACAAAGTGATAAATCCAATAGAAGCAAAGGATGCCAACTTACATCAAAAGAAGGGTCTTGAAATTCTGGAGATGAAATGGAGTGATGACTTTGATGATTCTCGGAATGAGACGGTTGAATATGAAGTGCTTAAAGAACTAAGACCTCTTCCTAAGTTATAAAACCTCAAGATTTTGAATAACAAGGGAATGAGATTTCCCAGTTGGGTTGGGGATCCCTCGTTTGAACAGTTAACAGAGCTTACATTATGCGGTTGTAGAAGTACACATTTAAGACTTGGACATCTAAGGTCTCTTAAGAAATTGATTGTTGAAAGGATGAATGAGGTGAAGCTGTGGGTTTTGAATTACCTGCACCTACAAATTCTTTTCCATCACTTGAAGTTCTTGAATTTAAAGATATGCACGGTTGGCAGAGATGGTCGATTAATAGTGGCGACGGACATGAAACTCCTACATCATTTCATCGTCTTCATGAGATCTCTTTAATAAGTTGTCCAGAACTTGATGAAGTGTCGATCGGACTGATACCTTCACTTCGGGTTTTATATATAAAAGAATGTTCAGAAGCAGTGTTAAGAAGCGTGGTTGTTTTGTCCTCATCACTTGTTGAATTAAAAATGTTAAATGTCAAAAGACTTACTCAACTACATGGAGAACATTTAATGCATCTTGGGGCACTTGAACATCTATATATCAGGAACTGTGATGAGCTGAGATGCTTGTGGGAACGAGAATCAGAGGCATGCAAGAGTCTTGTGAGTTTACAGAAGTTGGAAGTAATTAATTGTAAAAAGTTGGTTTCATCAGCCGAGAAAGAGGCTAATATTGGGATCAGCATGGAATCACTTAAATCTGTGGAATTTCATAACTGTGAGACATTGGAGAGTTACAATTGTACAAATACTGTTGAGAGGTTGGTCATCAGTACTTGTGCTTCAGTATCATCCATCCTTGACCTGCTCAGCAGTGCAGGAGCAGCCATCCCCTCTTACTGAATTGATAGTCGGTGATTGTGATAACATACAATTACAACACAAACCCATTCCAGCAAAAGACTTCAGTTTGTCTAGCCTTACATCTCTTCAGATCAGATTTTGCAAGAATCTAAAGTCATTTCCTCATGAGCATTTTCAAAGTCTCACATCTTTGTAAGAAATGCAGCTAACTGATTGTCCAAGTATGGACTACTCCTTACCTTGTGGGGTGTGGCCTCCTAATTTAAGCAAATTAAGGATAGGTGGCTTAAATAAACCCATGTCAGAGTGGGCCCCCCAGAATTTTCCAAATTTACTAGTTCAACTAATCTTATATGGCAAAAATTCAGGAGTGGTTTCATTTGCAGTGGCAGAAGATGTTAGGAATACTACTACTACTCCATCATCATCATCATCATCATCATCATCATCTTTTCTTCTTCCACCATCTCTCGTTTCTCTAACACTCAATGGTTTTAAGGATGTGGAATCATTTTCAGAGGTCTTACCACACCTCCCCTGCCTTAAAACACTTAATATTTGGAATTGCCCAAAGCTTGGAGATCTTAAGACCATTTACAACCCATCAAATGTGACAATACATGTGTTGAAGTAAAAAAGGTACGTCATCTCCTTTCCCATCATCTGTGTCTCTTACATAAGAGTGGTTATTCATTTCAATAATGTTATTATTATAATCATTGTTTCTTAACAAACGTGAAAGAGGGTTCTACAGCTTGTATCCCAAAGTATTACGACCCATCTCTTATGATAAACATCACAACTTTTTTTTTTTTGGGTAAATGTGGTATTCCTTATAAAGTAAGATTCGAATTTCTGTGTATTTTTTATTTTATTTTCAATAATGATCCCAAAGTATTAGGAACATTAATTTTGAGACTTGTTTGTTTTGGTTTGTTGATAATACTATTTTTATACTGAACTAACAATCAAAACTAGTACAAAAATAAGAGAAAACTATAACTGCACTAGTTCAATAGCTTTTCGGTTTTTGTAGAACTTTTACCGTTAACTTGCTATGTATATTTGTTGCAACCGTATTATTTAATCTTCATTGCACCACTTCTTTGTGTATTCCTTTATGTTGTCATGTTGTAGTTTTTGTTAATCTTGGCTTCGAGTGAACTTGTGCATTGTTGAATGAATTACTAGAAATCATAACAAAATTGTTTACAATTTGGACTTTTTCCAGAAACTTTGACCGTTTATTCGGTCATCAATTCAGAAATTTTGACCTTTTATGTCAAACCCATTGGCTTTGAGATGTTGATTTTGGTAATATTTTTGAAAATAGGGCCATCTTAATCCCTTTGTAACCTTTGTTATATAACTTCAGATTTCTTTACAAATATGTACCAGTTTCTAGGTTAGAAATAAATCCATTTGACATTAAAACTTTTTCTGTTTTGGTAAAAAAAAATATGGTCAAACTCTGTATAGCATGACTAATTGTCTTTTTGTGTGGTTATTCCCAGTATAACTGATCAGTATGTTACGGACGATGTAAGTCTACATAGTATAGACTTGTGTAAATATCATGACAACTTATTTGTTGTCATTAGTGATTGATTATAGAGACTAGGTGTGAGACCCATATACTATACGGGTTTATTAAAAACAGTTAAATATAAAACTGTAAACATTAAATATTTTTTAAAGTAAAATTTTGAAATAAATACAAACCAAATAAATTGTGACTTTATTCTTAGGAAGTTGCTCAATTTCTACAGGTGGACGTTGGACCAAGGCTGTCTACATGATGTCAGTGAGGCAAATCGGCTAAATATGCATGGGGATGGATGTTGAAAAAAGTTATAAGACAATCAAGGGTACGAGTAAATACCAAATACAAATTCCATATTTGGGATGAATGGTGGATGAGCTGTTGTATAGGTTCACTGAATTGTAATTAGATGTAGTAATTATCAAACATGGTTTGTTTTGGGATTTTATTTAAAAACTAGTTTATAAAAAAAAAATGCAGAGTACAAGAAATGGTTATCTTTATATATAAATAAACTAGTTTATTACCCTTGAAATCTTAAATCCGCCAACATGGAATACCTAAACTCGTTTGATATTGGGAGCAGGGAAACAGGACAATGTGCTCATGTGTATATTATGTTGTTCTTGACAAAGGTTTGCATAATTGTATGGTAAATACTCAAATGTGATAACGATTTTAAATATTTTGTTGATTATGGACTTAAAATCAATGTATAATTTCTGTATATCTCGACTCTCGACCACTTCGATGAAGTCGCATTTCATGGAAAGGTAGAACCGTTAGTTGAATACGATGCGGGTGACAGTGAAAATGAATCGATATTTCCAAATATATTGCAATACCTTGTCAACATAGAAAAGTGAAACCACTTGGGCCGTGGTGGCTCAGTAAGGCATGTGGAAGATGTGGTGGGCATCCCATTTACATATGTTCAAATCCTAGCACTACTCAAGCCCCTGTGGCCATGAAGGTTTGTCTGCAATGACTCTGCAACAGGGGATTAATTGCGGTGCGGAAACTGGCCTGAAAACCCTCATCAGGGAAGTTCCATTTGCATAAGAATATAGCGAAGAAGAAATGCATGTACTATGTTTTTTTGGATTATCAAATTAACAAGCTTGTTTGGAAGTGATGCTCTCTACTTTCTAAGAGTAGGAGAAGACAGCTATTACATTTCTTGGTTAACCTATGAGGGTGATAGATATTAGATAAAGTGCAATTGCAATATCAACATTCACCAATTTTAGATTACTGGAGATTTATTTTTCATTTATTTGGTCATGATGTCTAAAACAATTTGAGACCATATCAACATGCACCAATTTTCCATGAATCTGCAGTGCTCATTGATTATTTGTACCTTGTTTTATGTATGATGTGCTTGTTCCACGTGCTTATTGTTTGATAGGATATAACCAGTGAATATGTAATGTAAACCATTCTTTAGATGTTAGAAATAGTTAAACATTTACCACCAAATTGAGAGACTTTTCCTGCAAAGTCTCGTTAACATTTTTTTGTACTTTGATAATAATTGTGACGATAGGGCCTTTTTATTATCTTTAACACCTTTACCCCTCATAACGAAAGAGACCTATTTGTAAAAATGATTAACCTACTTACTTTTATCAACATAATTAAACTTAATTTATATGGCCATTATTATATTATGAAAGGATAATGATGTTCTAGTTATTGAAAAAAAAAACTTATTGAAATAAATAAGTTAGATTTTGCTTCTTGTATGTATCTCTATAGTTAAACCTTAATTGATAAGAGATGAGGTGATGAAGAACACAAAGGTAAAATGTTCATAACCATATATTTAATGGTTGTGCTGTTTAAGTTGACGGCCCAGGACCAGGAACAAACAACACAACGCTATAAAACCATGAAACAAGGATCAAAATTGCAAATAAATTTATGTTTGGACCTAAACCAGAAAATATCTAAACATAAAGGAGTAGCTTATTAGTATATGGGACCTCTGCTTCCACTGATGACGTTTCCCCCCATCATCTCCGCGACTCCACAATCACCTTCCTCCTCCACGAAGCCCACGTCCGGAGCCACCACCTCCGGTGAGTCATCCATTGCCGCCCAAGGCTCCTCACCTCTGACGTCAAAAACCGCCTCTGCCCCATCCTCTATTTACTCCGGGCCATAATCGGTATTTCAGAGATTAATGTTGGGTTAATCGGTTTGAAAAACAAATTTTATAGTCAAGGGCAATATAGGAAAGTTACTATATTTTGGTTTAGTTTTATCTCGTATGTAGGTATTAGAGTTTGAGTAGGTTTCTAATCTAATTAGTATATATAGATGTAATAGTTTTAACTTTAAATTTAAGTATTGCCGTTCTCATAAAACTTTGTGTGCAAGTCAATAATTTCTTTTCCTGTTTTATTCTTGGTTTCTCCCTAGCACACAAGGAATTGTTTAGTTTAGTTTCTTACACTTGGTATCAGAGCGGTTTCGTTGAAGGGGTGTGATTCGATGTTGATTACAAGCAACCCCGGTTTCTTTTAATCGGGCTTGTGAGAGACTAACCGGAGGCGTGGAGTAAACGAACGGGAAGACGTCAAAGCAGGTGACTTTGAATTGGTTCGTTTTGCGGGTGACGGAAGACGGTAAAGGTGGTCGTGACCTTGTCTTGTTGTCTGGTGGAAGAGTGCTCTCGGAACAAGTTTGATTAAAGAAGTCGGGGTTAAGGAGAAAAGGATGTCGTTGATTAAAGAAGGAAGTCCGATGACATATCATGATCCGGTTTTGACTCTAACGAATTATCCGGTGTGGACGGTCAAACTCAAGTCAATAATGGATGCACACGACATATGGGAGACGGTTGAACCAAAGGCGGGTGAAACATCGGATCAAAAAAAGTCAAAATAAGCTCTAGTTTTTTTGTTTGAAGCGATACCCGAAGACATGGTGTTGCAAATGACGAGTTACACCGAACCAAAGAAAGTGTGGGATGGGCTGAAAACATGGTATTTGGGAGTGCATCGGGTGAGAACAGATCGGCTTGCAACGTTAAAGAGAGAACTTGAAAGTTTGCGCATGAAGGAGGGTGAAACGGTCGATGATTTTGTGACAAAATTATCCGGTTTAGCTTCAAAAACAAGGAGTCTTGGATATGAGCTTGAAGAAGGTGATTTGGTAAAAAGGTTACTAGATTCGATGCCTAAGTCGTTTCTTCAAATCGTGGATTCAATAGAGCAATGTTTCGAGTTGGATTCAATGTTATTTGATGAAGCGGTTGGTAGATTAAAGGCATACGATGAGCATATAAGAGGAACCGAGAAAGTGGAGGACACTCAAGGTGGGTTGTTGTTGGCTAGTGAGGAAAAATCACATGTTTGTAAGCATTGTGGCAATGGACGTTCAAATCTGGATGACTTTGGACGTGACCGGAGAAGATGTTGGGGGTCCGGGAGAAGTCGAGATGGTAATGAACGTGTCCGGGGTAAAAGTCACGTTAGATGTTACAAATGTGGTGAGCTTGGTCACTATAAAAACAAGTGTCCTAAATGGGAAAAGGAAGAAGCGTGTCTAATCGAAGAGGAACCAACAGTGTTTTGAACGAGTGGTATAATCAAACCGATTAAGGGGGTGATTGTTGGGTTAATCGGTTTGAAAAACAAATTTTATAGTCAAGGGCAATATAGGAAAGTTACTATATTTTGGTTTAGTTTTATCTCGTATGTAGGTATTAGAGTTTGAGTAGGTTTCTATCCAATTAGTATATATAGATGTAATAGTTTTAACTTTAAATTTAAGTATTGCCGTTCTCATAAAACTTTGTGTGCAAGTCAATAATTTCTTTTCCTGTTTTATTCTTCGTTTCTCCCTAGCACACAAGGAATTGTTTTAGTTTAGTTTCTTACAAATAACAAACACACCCACCTCTCTCAAATCGCATACTTTCATGAAAACTTCGGAATCTCCTTTTACGACAGGATGCAGCGGCGGCGGAAGAACAGGGCCGAAAGAGGAAGAAGGGTTCGCTCGTTTTAATCCTGCATCCTCTATAAATTAAAGTGAATGTCTATTTAACGAGGGTATATTTGTCTTTCCATTATTTTTTCAGTGGATGATAAAAATGTCTGAAAAATCCTTTTATATATTTGTCAACCCTTTTGCTTCTAAAAGTCGTCCACCACTCATATACATTTACACTGTATTCAGTCCATCCTTTTTCTTCTTATCTGCTCATCCTTCTGAAATCAAAATCTTCAAAAGCGATTTTCCCTTTTCCGGATTCCAATGGCTGAAATCGCTGCTACTGCAGTTATCACTGTGCTGTGTGAGAAGCTTATCTCTGGTGATTTGATGAAGCTGGCTCGATCCAAGGGGATCGATTCTCAGCTGAACAAATGGAAGAACACCTTGCCCATGATCCAAGCCGTGATTGCTGATGCAAGCCAGAAGCAGATAAAACAGAGAGCTGTTCAACTGTGGGTAAACAATCTCCAGGATTTGACTTACGACATAGACGATGTGCTCGATGATTTGGCGACCGAAGCTCTGCAAAGCAAGTTGAATCAAGAAGCTCATGCTAGTACCAGCACCAGTAAGGTATTGAAGATCATCCCAACTTGCTGTACTAATTTCACTCCTCGCAGTATTAAGTATGGTCAGAAGATGAGCTCTAGACTAGACGAGATCACCACCAAATTGGATGATCTTATTGTGCTGAAAAATAGTCTGGGTTTGAATGTGAATGTTGAAAGCTCAAATATGATAGAAAGACGGTTGGAGGAAAATTCATTGGTTGATGAGTCCAAAGTCCTGGGTCGGGAAGGGGATAAAGAGGCATTGTTGGGGAAGTTGTTGGGGAATGAAGAAGGCCATCAAAATGTGAGCATAGTTTCCATAGTCGGTATGGGTGGAATAGGCAAAACCACTCTAGCCAAAGTTTTGTACAACGAGGAGAAAGTGAAAGATCACTTTGAAGTCAGGGCATGGGTTTGTGTTTCTGAAGAGTTGGATGTATTTAACATTAGCAAGGCTATCTTCCAAGCAGCAACAGGGAAAAACGAATCCTTTGCTAATCTTGATCTGCTTCATGTGGCCCTCAAAGAAAAACTTTCAAAGAAGAGGTTCATGCTTGTTCTAGATGATGTCTGGAACGAAGACCATAGTAAGTGGGAACTCCTCCAAAGTCCTCTTCTTGTAGGAGCACCTGGAAGTAGAATTATTGCCACAACCAGGAGTACGAACGTTGCATCAGTGATGGACTCGCAGCAAACTTACCCTCTAGGGCGTTTTGTCAAATGAAGATGCACTGTCATTATTCGCTCAACACGTGTTAGGAGAAAAAAACTTTGACAAACACCCAACACTTAAGTTGCTTGGTGAAGGCATGGTTCACAAATGTGGTAGATTGCCTTTGGCTTTGAAAACACTAGGGAGGGTGTTGATGGGAAATAAAAATGTTAGTGAATGGGAGGAGTTGTTGAAGAGTGAGATATGGGATATAGATGATGGAAATAAGATTCTTCCAGCTCTAAAACTAAGCTACTATCATCTCCCTCCACATCTAAAGCAGTTGTTTGCATATTGCTCCTTAATTCCCAAGGACTATGTGTTTGACAAAAATAAATTAATCCTATTGTGGGTGGCAGAAGGATTTTTGTCCCAATCAAAACGAAAAAAATCAATGGAGAATTTAGGTCATGAGTATTTTGAAGAGCTAAAGTCAAGGTCCTTTTTTCAACAATCAACGAATGACGAGTTAGGATATACGATGCATGACCTGATAAATGACTTGGCCACAAGTGTTGCAGGAGAGTTTTCCTTTAGATTGGATGGTGAGGTGGATGTATCTGATATGAATGAAGCTTTTGATAAGTTTCGTCACTTTTCACTTGTAGGTCCAAGATCTGGATCATGTAGAAAGCTTAATGAATTACAAAGAGCTAAACACTTGCGAACTTTCTTAGTCATGTCAGTTGGTTTGGAAAACTACGGCTTTTTGGACAAGGTTCTTCTTAAACTACAATTCCTGAGGGTGCTAAGTGTCGTTGGCTTGAATCACATGTACCAAGGCAGTCAGATAATCACAAAGGTACCAGAATCCATTGGTAGTCTCAAGCATCTACGGTACCTTAATTTTTCTTATACTGAAATCACATCTTTGCCAGAACAATTGAGTGACCTTTATAATCTACAGACCTTGTTGCTTCATAACTGTTATCAGCTATCTAGTTTGCCAGAAAGTATTGCAAAGTTAATAAACCTGCGACATCTAGACGTAAGTGATACTCCGAATTTGAACAAGATGCCCTTAGGGATTGGTGGTTTGACGATTCTACAAACTCTAACCAAGGTCTTTATTGAAGAAGGTAACAGGTTCAGAATATCCGACCTTAAGAGACTAACAGATCTTCAAGGTCGTCTTTCCATTATTTGGCTCGACAAAGTGATAGATCCAATACAAGCAAAGGAAGCCAACTTACATCAAAAGAAGGGTCTTGAAGTTCTTGAGATGGAATGGAGTGATGTGTTTGATGATTCTCGGAATGAGACGGTTGAATATGAAGTGCTTAAAGAACTAAGGCCTCCTCCTAAGTTAAAAAACCTCAAGATTTTGAATAACATGGGAATGAGATTTCCCAGTTGGGTCGGTGATCCCTCGTTTGAACAGTTAACAGAGCTTACATTATCTGGGTGTAGAAGTACACATTTAAGACTTGGACATCTGCGTTCTCTTAAGAAATTGGTTGTTGAAAGCATGAATGAGGTGAAGACTGTGGGTTTTGAATTACCTGCACCTACAAATTCTTTTCCATCACTTCAAGTTCTGGAATTTAATTACATGCAAGGTTGGCAGAGATGGTCAATTGATAGTGGAGATAACCATGGAACTCCTAGATCATTTCCTCGTCTTCATGAAATTTCTATCAAATGTTGTCCAGAACTTGATGAAGTGTCGATCGGATTGATACCTTCACTTCGAGTTTTATCTATAAGAAATTGTTCCAAAGGAGTGTTAAGAAGCATGGTTGGTTTGTCCTCGTCACTTGTTAAATTGGAAATAGCGAATATTAAGGGACTTACTCAACTACATGGAGAAGATGTAATGCATCTTAGGGCACTTGAACATCTTTATGTTAAAAATTGTGATGAACTGAAATACTTGTGGGAACAAGAATCTGAGGCATTCAAGAGTCTTGTGAGTTTACAGAAGTTGGAAGTACGGTGGTGTAAAAACTTGACATCCTTGACCTTCTCAGCAGTGCAGGAGCACCCATCACCTCTCACTGAATTAATAGTCAGTGATTGTGATAACATACAATTACAACCCAAACCCATTCCAGCAAAAGACTTCAGTTTGTCTCGCCTAAAATCTCTTGACATCCTTGATTGCAAGAATCTAAAGTCATTCCCTTATGAACATTTGTCTCACATCTTTGGGATACCTGTGTATACAAGATTGTCCAAGTATGGACTACTCCTTTCCTTGTGGGGTGTGGCCTCCTAATTTAACCAAACTAAGTATAGGAGGCTTAAATAAGCCCATGTCAGAGTGGGGCCAGCAGAATTTTCCAACCTCACTAGTTGAATTAGTGTTAAAGGGTGAAAATTCAGGAGTGGTTTCATTTGCAGTGGCAGACAATGTGAGGAATACTACTACTCCTACTCCATCATCATCATCAACTTTTCTTCTTCCACCATCTCTCGTTTCTCTAATGCTTGATGGTTTTACTGATGTGGAATCATTTTCAGAGATCTTACCACAACTCAATTGCCTTAAAACACTTAGTATTTGGCATTGACCAAAGCTTGAAGATCATATGACCATTTACAACCAATCAAATGTGAGAATAATGTGGCGGTAGTAGAAAAGGTCCGTCATCTCCTTTTCCATCATCTGTGTCTCTTAGATAAGTACTAAAAGAGTGGTCATTCATTTCAATAATGTTATTATAATCATTGTTTCGTAACAAACGTGAAAAAGCGTTCTACAGCTTGTATCCCAAAGTATTACGGCCCATCTCTTATGATAAACATCACAGCTTTTTTTTTTTATTATAAATGTGATATTCCTTATAAAGTAAGATTTCAATTTCTATGTATTTTTTTTTCAATAACTATCCCAAAGTATTAGGAACATTAATTTTGAGACTTGTTTGTTTTGGTTTGTTGATAATACTATTTTTATACTGAACTAACAGTCAAAACTAGTACAAAAATAAGAGAAAACTATAACTGCGCTAGTTGAATAGCTTTTCGGTTTTTGTAGAAGTTTTACCATTAACTTGCTATGTATATTTGTTGCAACTATATTATTTTAACTTTATTGCACCACTTCTTTGTGTATTCCTTTTCGTTGTCATGTTGTAGTTTTCATTAATCTTGGCTTCGAGTGAACTTGTGCATTGCTGAATCTTGAATGAATTACTAGAAATCATAACAAAATTGTTTATAATTTGGACTTTTTCCAGAAACTTTGACCTTTTATTCGGTCATCAATTCAGAAATTTTGACCTTTTATGTCAAACCCGTTGGCTTTGAGATGTTGATTTTTGGTAATATTTTTGAAAATCGTCGCCATCTTAATATTTTTGAAACTTTGACCTTTTATATAACTTCAGATTTCATTAAAATTTGTATCAGTTTCTAGGTTAGAAATAAATCCATTTGACATTAATACTTTTTCTGTTTTGGTAAAAAAAATATGGTCAAACTCTGTATAGAATGACTAGATCTGTATGTTAAGGACGATGTAAACATCATGACATCTTATTTGTTGTCATTAGTGATTAATTATAGAGATTGTTTATGAAATCATATTAGAATATCCCATATTGTGTGATCTTTGCATGTTTCTATAAATTATGAGTTTATTCTTAGGAAGTTGCTCAATTTCTACAGGTGCACGTTGGATCAAGGCTGTCTACATGACGTCATTGAAGGCAAATCAGCTAAATTTGCACGGGGATGGACGTTGAAAAAAGTGAAGGTAGATAAAGAATCAATGAGTTTCAGAAAAGTCATTATTTAAAAGGGAAAAAAGATATTGACGGAACTGCCCCTGCACTGTTGGCAGGAACACAGGTTGAAATAGACACATTCATTTGAATGAGCATATTGACTCTTTGGAAAAACATTGCACGACACCTGATATTACTAAGATTTGATATGAAAGTTTGTAATAAATCTTGTTTTAAGTAGAATGCCATTTCAAGTACAATTCCCATATACATAATGGACAATTATGCCCCTAACCATAAACAGTTGTGGTTCCTATTTTGATTTCAAGTACATCTGCCCCCACCCCCATTTGGTTAAATGCAAGAGAAAGCAATATACTTTATAGACTATAAAATGTTTACAACGAAATAGATTGGTTCATCGTTCCAAGAAATGATGATACATGAAGATGAGAGAAACAAACATAAAAAGATATTAGTTTGGTCTAATTCATTAAGCTATGGGGATAAACCCAATTTATAAATAGAGAGAAAGAAATTTAAGATTAAAGGACGAAAATGCTCTTTATCCAGATTTTTCATATTGTACAATTCTTATGGTTGTAATACACAAATTATAAAAATAAAATAAAATTATGATGCTCTATGAACATAACTGACTTTTTTTTGACCAAATAGCTTTTTGAATTAACTTGCATCACATATGATATTATTAAGATTAGATATGAAAGTTTGTAAAAAATATTTTTTTTAATTACAATGCCATTTCAGGTACAATGCCCCTTTACATAACTGATAATTACGCCCCCATGCACTTAAAATAGATGCAGTTTATAGTTTGATCTCAAGTTATTTTGCCTCTGCCATTATTTTGTTAAATGAAAGAGAAAGCAATACACTTTCTAGAATATAAAATGTTTACAACCAAACAGATTTGCTCCTACACAGTATCTAGAAAACACAGATTTTAGAGAAAACAACATATTGCCAAGTATAAATTTAGCATTGTACAATGCAATGGTGACACAGACTTCAGAGAAAAAAAATATATACATTTTCAAGTTTATATTTCGTAACAATAGGAGGAGAGTATTACATGATTGTGCAGTTGACACAAATCTCTCGATGAATTGACGTTGGAGAAAGGACAAACAATTAACGAAACATCGGATCATATATTATGAGGAACGATTTCATTCAAAAAAAAATTACCCTGGGACTTCCAATGATGATTGAATAATTAAAGGAATGAGGAGGCTAGGGTTTGCTCACCCTCAGCCTCTACTAATATCTTTTATCCAGAAGAAAACCCTAACTATTTTCCTCCATTGTTGAAGCTTGCTTGAGTGTTTTGAGAGGTATTGAAGGAAGAAGCAAGAAGAAGTAAGCCAAGGCTCAGCAAGAGAGCCTCTATCTCCCTACCTAACTCATTTTGGACCCTTGTAAGTGTTCAAGGTTTCACCTTTTTTATTATCGAGTGTTAGATCTTGCATTTTGTCTCACTTTCTTCTTGATCTTGTTGGATAAGATGGTGAGACTTCATAAAGGTTGCAACTTTATGATTCGCTGGATCATTTGAAGTAGTTTATGGTTTTGTCTGAAGTTTGGTGGTTTGTTTGAGCCGTGCATGAGATCTTGGTCATAAAACCCCATTTTTTACCTAAGTTGAGTCCAAGACTTTCATTGGACAAGCAAGTCTTAAAAGCATCAAACTTTAGGATGGTTTTAGTGTTATAAGCTCTTCTGGAGCAGATGGGCTTATAACTTAAGGGATTAAGTGCTTCTTGATTAAGTCATTACCATTTTAGCCTTCTTGGATCTAAGACTTGAGATCTACACCTCTTGGTGGGTCTCAAGGAATAAAGGTGGTAACTTTATCCATTTGGGCATTAGAAATGATCAGATCTGGACTTCGGAACCTCTGGTATTGGAGGATTCGATTTAACTCATTAAGATGTTTTGAATCCAGTTCCTACTGTGTGGCCTAGGCTGCCATGATGTGACGACTGGAAAAAACACAACTGTCTTGTCGTTTGAAGGTCGGGACGTTGCCAAGGATGGCCACGACGTGGCGGGTCAACTTTGATCGTTTACTTTGACTTTTGACTTACGTTGACGTTTGTCCAGACCCCTAATCTTGGAAGTGAAACTAAGGATGTATTTTATATGGTTGTATAGGTGGTTGGTAGCATCTATGTTCGTAGCAGTAGTAGCAGTTGCAGTTGATCATCGTTTGATAGGTGAGTCTCTTCACTATACTCATGGGTCGAAGGCACCAATGTTGGCCCATTACATTATGTTAGGAGGATGATAGTTATCTTTGTGACATTTGTTGATATGTCTGTATGTGATAAGTGTCTTTGTGGCATTTGTTGGTATGCACGTTTGTGCTTGTTGTTGTCTTTGTGGCTCTTGCTAATATGATTGTATGCTTAGCTGTAGGGGTAAAATAGAGTCGATACCGGCTGAAAGAGACCGAAGGGGTGAAATAGACCTGGTACCAGTTGAAAGAGACCGAAGGGGGTGAAATAGACCCAGTACTGGTTTAAAGAGACCAAAGGGGGTGAAATAGACTCATTTTAGTTTTGTACTGTTATGTATGTATGATATGGGGTATTTTAGGGAACTCACTAAAATTGGTAATTGTATTATGTCAATAATAAGTCACAATTACAAGAGTATACACACAAATACACATTTACACTCTAAACCCTCTAATATATAAATGCAATTATATATCGTCTAATAGCCCCCCTCAAGGTACGGTCGGGTAAAGACCTGTAGCTTGTCTCGTAAGAAAGTAAATCATTGTGAGGGTAGAGGTTTCGTGAACACATCTGCGATCTGATCATTTTTGGAAATAAACTAAACCTTTAGTTGATGATGAGCAACTTTCTCTCTAACAAAATGAAAATAAACTTCAACGTGTTTTGTACTTGCATGAAAGACAAGATTTGTTGCTAAATGTGTAGCGTCGAAGTTGTCACACCATAAATTTGGAGAAGCAAAGGTAACAACAGGTAACTCACATAAAGAGTTTGAAGCCATGTGAGTTCTACAACCGTATAAGTTAAAGCTTTGTATTCAGATTTGGTGGATGAGCGCGAGACAATATTTTGTTTACGTGCACACCATGAGACAAGATTAGAGCCAAGATAAATGACATATCCCCCTTTGGATCGTCGGTCATCCGGGCAACTAGCCCAATCAACATCAGAGAAGGTAGTTAAAGGAGTAAAGGTTGCCTCTGTATAGGCATGTAAAAGTGTGGCGGAGTCATGTTTAAACAATAATCTATGAGAGATAGTACCTTGAAGATACCAGAGAATTCGCATCACAGGCGACTAATGCTTTTCAATCAGGGAATGCATGAACTGGCAGGCCTTGTTGATAGCAAAAGTAAGATATGGACGAGATAAGGTCACATACTAAATGCCTGATATTTGACCGAATTATCAAACTTTGGACTGTCACCAAGAGATAGGTTTGCATCGGTGGTGATCGGGGTTGGAATCGGTTTGGCATGAGATAGCCCTGCCTGCTCCAATATTTCAAGAATGTACTTCTTTTAAGAAAGAAGAAGGTCTTGTCCCTGTTTAACTATTTCAATCCCAAGAAAAGTAGGATAGAGGACCCATATCTTGAAGTGCAATGGTTTGGCTAAATTATGAACAACACTCTCAATAGCCACTGGAGTTGTTTCCATTTAGAATAATATCATCTACGTATACCAACACCCTTTGAAGAGTAAATGAACAATGATGGATCGGTCTTGGATGCATGAAAACCAAGGGTTTGCAAGGCAGTAGAGAGTCAATGAAACCATGTGTGTGGTGCTTGCTTTAATCCGTATAAGGATTTATGAAGGAGGCACACAGGATTCGGTTTAGCAGGATCTACAAAACCCTCTGGTTGACGTAGATAAATAGTTTCATGAAGATCATCATCCATAAAAGTATTTATGTATATCAAGCTGATGTAGTGGCCACTTTTGTGTGTCATTAAGAGACAAGATAACACGAATGGTAGTTGATTTTACCACCAGACTAAAGGTTTCTTGATAATTGATCTCGTGTTGTTGTCGAAACCCCTTTGCAACCGGGCGTGCTTTATACCTTATGACCTTCCCCATTTGATCTCTTTTGAGGTTGTAAACCCATTTGCAGTCAATGATATTTGACTTGGGTGGACGTGGGGCCAGTGTCCATGTGCCATTCCGAACAAGAGTTGAGTACTTGTCAAGGATGGCAGATCACCACTTTGGATCATTATGAGAAACTTTGAAGGTAGCAGGTTCCTTTTCAATGGTGGCATGGGTGTGATAGGTAGTTGCTTGAAATTTGGTAGTTGGTTTGGCATTAGGGCGAAGGTTTGATGGACAAGGATGTGGCAGAGATGAATCGGGTAACATCAAGTTCATATGAGTGGTGGTTGTGGGTTTGGTTCGTCGATGATAAGTTTAAAGCAATGGTGGTCGTGGCAAGGATGTTGACGGAACCAATGATGGATTGGTGTCGGTGTGGGTACATGGTTTCGTAGTGGGTGGTGGTGGTGAAGTAATGGTATGTGGGTCATCTATAGTGGGTGGTGGTGTATGGTAAAATGAAACATAAGGATGTGATGTTGGCGCTGGTGATCTTGTAGGAGGCACATTGTGGTACGAGAAGGATTGTTCATGAAATTGAACATGTCGAGCAATGTAGAGTCATTTAGAGGATTGTAGCAACGGCACCCATGATGTGAAGTATTATAACTAAGAAACACACACATGGACCTAAAATCCATTTTATGTTTGTTGTAAGGATGAAGATGTGGATAGCATCTACAACCGAAAACGCGTAAATGAAAATTTAGGCGTATGTTTGTACACAAGTTCAAAGGGGGGGGGGGGTATTGGAGTTTGTTCGAGATAGAATACGGTTGACAAGATACACAGGCTTATCAAAAGCAAAATGCCAAAAGCGTTGTGGGACATGAGATTGTGCGAGCAAAGTGAGGCCAGTTTCAACCACATGACGGTGATGGCGCTCAACAAAACTGTTTTGTTCACTTGTGTGTGGACATGAGAGCCGATGGGTGATGCCAAGTTTTGAGAAAAACTGAGAAAGGTTACAGAATTCTTCTCCCCCCCCCCCCCCCCCAAAAAAAAAAAATTATAGTTTGAATAGTTTTGATTTGAGTCTGAAATTAGCATTCAATAGTAATCATGAATGCTTTGAATGTGTCATAAACATTAGATTTAGACTTTAACGGTAAAAACCACATGCATCTCGAAAAATGATCAACACATA